TGGGAGGAGGAATCAGGCTACTCGGCTGAACAGGCAGGCGACGCAGCGGCTGCTACAGTGGAAACGCCTCCCTGTGCTGCCTTTAGGGGCTCCTCGTAAGGCAGAGCTGGGAGACGAGCTCTGCCTTAAGGACGTTTTTTTCCTTGAACTTTTCCCCCTTCATCTTGCTTGAGCTGGAAAGTTATAGCCGAATGAAAACTTGCGATAAATAGTGCTATGTGTGCCTGTTGTAATTACTTCATACTGCAGTGCTTCACGTTGTTGTCGATTGTTGCTTTATGAAACATTTTTAAAGGGTCTCACTGGAGTTTTTAACCACTAGCAGAAATCTAATTTCTTGCAAACAGAGAACAGATAACACTTTAGCCAATTAACCTTAATCAGAAACAGGTGGTAACATTAGCATTATTGACATGTTTGCTTTGGTATACATCGAGTACAGCTTTAATTTATGTTATTGGTCACATAGAATTGATAGAATTTGAGTGGATGACATTTTGGGAACATAATATGTTGATATTTTGTTATTGGGAGCACAATAATTTTGGTTGCACCGACAGTAATGTAATAGTGGTGCATGAAATCTGTCCATTGAATGTTATACAACTAACTGTAGATAAAAACACCCAACAACTGAAGGCGTAGCACAAACCTTTGGAAGCAATTCAGATCTGTTTTGAAATGTCAGCAACTGGCTCCCATTTGGTACATTTATTTATGTCAAACGTGGCCTGCCAGTTTACAGGTAGCTGTGGAAGGAGAAGAGACCTACATTGTGTGGTGTAAAACTTTAAACTCTATTTTCAAGCACTCCTTTATGAAGGATTCAACATGTAAGAAGCTGCATACGGTGGCAGCTTAAAAACATGCAGGTAACTCCTGTATGGTCACTCTGTTTGTGGATCGTTTTCATATTCCTGACAGTATTTGAACGCAACCCGCGCTATCACACCACACACGCGCACCTTTTGTAAACTAGTTAGTTCACGGAGCATCGGGAGCGCGCCTGGCTCCTGTAGGCTGACGTGTAAAGTATTTTTTGTCATGCTTCCTTATGCACTGTCCACTGCTTCAGTTGTCATTTACAACGAGGTATAAAGTCGCTACTACTGAGGACAATAAACGTCCTATGAATGTCCCATAATGCAATATTTTGTGCCACCGTGTATCTGTTAGATTCTGCTTCCCTGTCTATGCCTCATGTCTCCATCTATTTTCACTCAGTCTGTCCTGTCATTTTCTGTTTCATCACTCTCCCTCCTTTCATCTTGGAGTGTGTAAGCCCATTATCGGCCTCCTTCACTCAGTTTGATCTGTGGGTGTTCTCACGACATCCTGAGGCCCAAATAATAGGAGGTGCACCTTTCGTTTTCTTCTTCGTATTGCATATTTGTGTAAAGATATAAAACACAAATAGGCTGTACACGTTTTTTTCGTTGCTAAAATGTTTAATTCTGTGGTGGTTGACAGGTACTTTAGTGCAGCCAACGTGCTTAGTCTACCACTTTGATCCACAGCCACTTACTGTCTAATCTACAGTGGATGCATGTACACCCATCACAGAATAACTTTATCTGTGATCCCTTCCTGCAAACATGGACTTTACTCACTTGCTTTGCACAGGAGCAATGCAGCTTTTTGGATATTAAAAACTAAATTTAAATAAAAGTTTACTGACCTCTGACCTCCTGAAACAGGCGAGTGAGGTCAGACTTTGCTCATAAGGAACTACTGGACTATTGCATCACATTGTCAATATCACAACATAAAATGTGCCAAATAACAACTAGTTATTCCCAAACTAGTGGGCATCAGGGGGATAAATGTTAAGGGAAACTAGAATTAAGCAGCATTTTGACGTGATAAATACGAGTGTAATAAGATAATGAACTGCTGCATTACATTGCAATGACTGCTAGAACAGAGACATAAGTATTAGTCATTAGCTCCACCTGTGATTCCCCTGTTGTGAAATAAGGACAAGGACACAAATATCAGCCATTACATAATCTCATTGTTGTTGAGATCAATAATGAGTTTTTAAAGATGTGTTAGAAACAGATATGAGCCTAAACATATCGGCAGGTTAGTGTTTGCTGGGGAGAATTAACGTACTGTCAGGTGTCTACAATAGCGAATCCATTGGGGTGCAACAAGTAGCTGACCTGGTAGAGCTGGCGCCCCGTGTGCCAAGGCTGAGCCTGACTCAACTCTGACCTGTGGCCCTTTGCTGCGTGTCATCCCCTAGCCATCAATTAAATCCACAAAAACCCCGACAAACAAACCCTGACTGACAGCCCTGCAGCATTTAGATGAGATGGCTAGTAAAGGTGCCAGTGGATTTAAGTTGGCAGAACAGGATGTCCTCTATGATTCATGTGTGGTGAGACACTGTAAGCCTACTGCCAGCTGCCAGCATACAACAAACCTAATACATCACAGCTACTCCTCTGTGGGAGGCCTACTGTTGGGTGCAGTTTTGCTTTAATTGAATTTCAGTGACAAGAAAATGGCATTATTAGCAACACTGTGCTGTTGTTTTTTTCCTGGAATACACTGTATCTGTAGTGGTAACCTCATATGATAGTAGGTCAATCAGATTTCAGAACAATCCACACCCCAGCTGTTCCTCTGTAGTATAAAATTTAGTGTAGGTTAGTGCATATTATAAGTTAGTAATCAATTAATCACACAAAAGTTTGGATATTATGTTGTAAGCACTATGGTTTGTTCACACAAATAACTGGAAATCAAGTAGAGAGCACTATGTTTTAAGTAATGATGATTTTGAGTGTTAAGTAGAATAGATTTATATAAGCTCACAAGGATGTTAATGAAGGCATTATGTTTTAAGTTTATATGATCTCATGATAAGCACAAATACAAATACTGTTGATGAAGTAGTAAGCACCATGGTTTTTTAGTAAAAGTTTGATTTAATGTGTGGAACATATAGAATGTGTAGTTGTGTAGCAAAGAAATTAGCACTGATTATACCAAATGTATGTGTGTGGTTGTAACACAAGTTTCTTATCATATTATAAAGTTTATAAAGTTTTTAAAAAATACAGTAAAAGACATCTGTGACATAATGGTGTAAGGAAAAGGTAATAAATGGTTTTTAAAAAATAGAAGTACAGTAAACTAGGTTCTAATGGTGTAATCCTGAAGAAAGGAGAGTAAAAAGAAAATGTCATGGCCAACTGGTGTAGGCCATGAAGCCTGTGGGTTCTGTGATAAGAACATAGGCCTGACGGTGCAGGATAATTAGGCGAGTAAGACACCAGTAGGATGGCGCATGGGCCCAACAAAGGCAAAATAATTGGGACCCACAGACTGGTGAAGATTTAGGGTCTTTCCAGAGTAGAATTTACACCATTATGTCATGGATGGAAAAGGTAGAAGGTGGGCAGGACTTGTGACAGAGGGCAAAAGTATATAAGGAGAAGCTTTGTGAGGATGAATTCAGTCTTCCCATGGATGGCTTGGGCTTTGTTTGTCTGTCAAGATAATAAAGCTCTAATGTACTGCCAACTTTGATGAATCCTGGTTGTTATTTTTCCACCTGAAGGAGAATAACTTTTAGACCTAATTTGGACTTAGAAATTTGCATGTTGGACACAATCTTCTGATCAAAAAGAGAACTCATTCTGACCAAGACCCAACACCTCCTATAAATGAAAGGGTCTTTCTTTCTTTAACTGATATACCATTGCTTTAAAATATGAACAATTCCTGTCTGCATAATTGGCTGCTGCTGCATCAAATTTCCACAGAAAAATCTACACAAACCTCTCAAGTGAGGCAAGACGCTCTCAAAATGCAGTTTCGTTTCAATTCAAGACAAGCTGATATATTATTATCAGAAATATCAGGCAAGAGTTCTTGTGCAGGAAGTAATAAATTCATGCAACATTTCCTCTCAACTTTGAGCAACTGCAATGGCAACGGCCCTGCTTTTATGGGCATCTGTGTGTGTGTGTGTGTGTGTGTGTGTGTGGTCCACTTTGTTGTTCCTGTTTAAACCATTTCAAGTCCATCACGTTTTTCACAGTCACTATGTTGTACATGTTGTTATCCTCTTTGCCATCACAATAAAGCAGATAAACATTATCACGGTAAGTGTGTTTACACTGGGGAGAATGGCCCACAGTGCATCAATAATAATATCAATATCATCAATAATACGCTGTCTAAGTGTGACACTTATGCATGCATATTTTATTCCTTCTCAACATAAAAAATTTACAAATGAAAGAGGAGGATGTTGAGAAACACAGGCCTATTTGAAGCATTTAAATGAGATAAGAGGACTGACTCACACTAGAGGAAACAATGGATGGTTTATATTGTAATTAAAGGGCAGTATTTTTTTAAAAGCTGTGTTTCTCAGTGGTTTAGAGTCGAGTCTCTAGCTCAACCCAGAATTATCTATAGTAATTTTCCTGATTAAATGAGGATAATTGATTTATCCAGCCATTCTCAATATTATGTCCGAAACATTTCCCCTCCTGTGCTTTGGTGCCATCTGGCGGCCATGATGAACCACCACAAGTACGCTGACAACACAACCGCTTAAAACCATATTTATGTGCATAGGAAACGACCAGAAAACCAAAGCAGCTTTGTCCTGTCCGAAAACAGTAAACAATGTGCAGTCATCGTGTGTTAAAGCGGTTGTTTTAGGCAAGAAACGGCAAAGGTAACCGTTAGCGCTTGGCAACAATACGCATGCGCACAAGGGTCAACCGTTAAATGAACTGTTTTTCTGTCTCGAGCCTCTTACCCTGCCTCTTACCCTGTCTCTTACCCTGTCTCTTACCCTGCCTCTTACCCTGCCTCTTACCCTCGACAGGGAACATAAATATGAAACCCCCTCACTACAGAGTACCCCACCGCAGTTAACTCGATTCAAGCGAACACGGAAGTACGTACGAAACAGCCCTCTCATCTCGCCATAGCAACCTGACACAGACGTTTCTAGCAAAACAACATTTCCCGAGATGCACCGCACGTTCTGGTGACATCCACGCTAGGATGAGGTGAAACGGTTGTTTTCGTCTTGCTGTTATTAGCTGCCTGTAAATTAAGGTATAGCGGCTTTTAGATCGGGAATACCGCAGTGTCCCTGGCCTGTAGGGTACCCCCTTCCCTCTGGAATTACTGCCAGACTGACGGCTTCACCCCCCGCTTCGTTTTCGGTGAGTTTATCGCCATGTTATCATCCGTTCCCACCAGGCTAATTGCCCGAAGGTCGCGCAGCCTGTCACCATGCCGACGCGTTCTCCAGACCAGCGCAACCGGTGCCGCCTGCCAGGGCATCCGCGAGACACCGGCGGAGACCAACCGCAACCCCATCGTGTCCAGCTCGCGGGTCTCCAGAAGGGGTATTTTAGCTGAGGACACCAGTGGTACCAGTGTGAACCCGTCGGTGCAGTACCACCACCTCGCCCCTAGGTGGCTGTCCAACCTGGAGAACCGCCGCAGCTCATGGGCAGCTCTGGCCAGCAGAGGGCGCAACAATAACCAGTACTGGGAGGAGAGTGGGCCGGGCGGAGGAGGAGAGGGCCGGGGGACAGGTGGAGGAGCCAGCCGGGCAGGAGTGGCCTCTGCCGGTGTGCTGTCTGCTGCAGCCGTGGCTTTCTGCCTGAAGAAAGATACTGATAACAAAGGTAGGTAAACTCAGTCAGCTCTCGTCTGAGGCACAAAATACATTCAAGATCACAGTAGTCAATTGAGTTAAGCTTTAAAAACAACAGGATTTTTAAAGTTTTCTGTATCTGTTTCTGCAATAATAAGGTGATGCTCTTCTGGAGGCAGCAAGGACCAACAACTCCCAAGATGTGGCCAGGTACCACACACACACAATCAGTCTTTATTATATTACTATATTATATTATATTTATTTTTGTGTCCGCAGTATGTAATGTTTGTCCCCTTTTATACTAAATATGTATTCTTATAGTAGTATATAGTCTTCCACAGGCCTGTATATACCTATATATAACACCTTGCACATGCACATCCTAAAAGCACAGTTGCATGTAAACGTTTAATAATAGAGTTATTACACCAGATAATGGCAAATATTATCTTTATTTGTCATGATGACAGTGGAACCTGCAGTTTAGGATGTATTGGATAAAACTGCACCATTGGACACCTGCATTAGTCCTGATGATGATACTGGTTGATGGATTTAAGTTGATGGCTGAATAGTACTAATGCAGTTCCTGCTTAAGAGGAAAGGAAGAACTACCTGGGTGGATTATTTTTTGTCAGCTAAAATTTATAAAGATATATAATTTCTCTTATCGCTATTTTTTTAAGTTAAAATCAGTAGAGAACCAGTGTGTGATATTGATAACACATTCATATAACATAGTTGTTGTTTAGGATTTTGGTAATTGTAATCATTTTTAAATTATACAGTTCACTTTTTGACCATAATATCTACATAACTAATGTTTTTGTGTCAAAGATTATATCACCTGCCACTCAATATTGTATATACATCAAGATATTGTGGCAGAAATAGTGTGATACTTTTATTTTGTCGATTTAACCTGGACTATATTTGACTCCATTAACCTTTTTTGTGATCAACTTTTTATTTTATTTTAAGGAAAAATACAGATGAGTATATGCAAGTTACAAAAATAAAGCATAAAATATATATTCACATACATACCTATACATATGCATATATACAGATACATATGATTAACAACTAAAATAAAATAATAAAAATAAAAATAAAGAAAGAAAACCCCAAATATAACCCACCCACCCCCTGGATCCAGAACTCTATATCTCACTCACATATTACACCTGATACCCACGGAAGATAGTTAAGAGTGAATGACAAGCCTCTATTGCTGACTCTTTTGCTCTGTGGACTCTAGCTGTCGACAACTCCAAATAAACAATATCCAAATATGTTAAAACCAATGCTCGAAAAGAGAGGGAATGTGGAGCTTTCCAACGTGTGGCAACTAGTTTTTTTTTGCAGCCGTAAGTCCGGCCAACAACGCTCTTCTCTTGTCCAGTGTCAAACCCAGCCTTGACAAATCGTTCAAAATGAGTGTAGCAGGCGAACAGAGCAATCTTAAACAACTTAGAGAGGTTAAAGGCAACCACCTTCCGTAATTCGGCCACTGGGGTACACTCCCAAAACATGTGAAAATAACTGCCAATCACTTTGGAAGAACAGAAAGTACACGTAGGATCATTAATAACCTTCATCAAATGAAGCTTCCTAGGAGTTAAATATATCCTGTGTATATAATTATAATGTATTTGCTGATGATCAGGGTTTCTGGATGCTAAGTTAACTCCATTAACCTGAGTAAAGCAATCATACGTGGCTCCATCCTAAACTAAATCCATAATAATGTAACTGTCAGCCTGTAATGGGACTCTGACAGATTTTACTGTTTTCTTGTGAGCTCTTTCAGCGTTTTTGGTCACACAGCTCTTTGAATTAACCATCATCTTCTGCTACTTAGTGTTGTTCAGATCTTATAATCTTGTTCAAGTCACAGATCATCTGCTGAGGGCAGTCGATAAACCAGCCAGGATCATCTGCAGTTCTGAAAGTAACCAGTTACATTACCTGTATTTGTAGTCCCGCCAATAACCACCAGGTGGAAGGAGAGAACCATCTGTGTGTGTAAATGTGTGCGTCTGAGGAGGTGTTTGTTTCTTTGTAGGACATTTGAACACTCAGAGCTCCATTTCATCTGTGTGCCTTGAGTTTTATTTTTTATTTATTTATTATCATAAATTAAAATGTGCCTTTTCTCTGACACTGATCTTAAACTCAAAAATATGCCTATACATATAATTTGCCTGCACACTCAGAGACAGAGAACCAGAGCCACCCAAAAAGGAATGTGTCAGTAGTGTGTGTACTTTTAGTACTTCTTGGTCCCATCTATTCTGCTGATAAATATAAATTTCAAACAGACGGAGGTGTTCGCTGCCACACCAAAATATTAATGTACAATTTTCCCAGTAATATATTAGTAATACATAGTGTTGGATGGCTGGATTTCATCCGTCATGCTATTCACCTTTTGGCAATAATAATGTTAATGTGTGTTAAATCTGTGCTTGTACGTATCCAGTGTGTCGTTAGGTCTTCGTACCAGTGTATATGAGCACATCGTACATGTGTTTATCCACGTGTGTCTCCATTTGCTGGGTTGGGTTACCTGTGCCCATGTGGCAGATGGTGAAGGTGAGAGTGCAGTGAGACAGTCAGCTAGACAGCCATTCAGCAGATCACAGATGTGTTAAGTGCTTGGGTTTAGTTTATAGTCGTGGTAGAGTGTCAGGGTGTGTCTGCTGAGAGGCAGTGAAGAGGATGGAGGTCTTGTTTTCACACAGGCTTTATAAAAGCAGTTGTACTACAATTGTGGCGAAACCATTTATAATCCTGTGACAGCATTCTAACATCGTTTATGAAGTTGATGTGCTGTCACGAGACCCAGCCTGTACCATTAAGAAGCGTATTCCACTGATAAGGGTTTGTGGAGGCTGATAACGATGCTGACATTTTTAGGGTTGGAAGCTGCTTTTGGCTCATATTTTGTGCTTATATCCAATATTTTTGGATCTGGAAATGTTATTGGTTGAAATAGCTAATATTCTCCCTCCAGTTTTATTGCAGCCTTAGCTTGTGAAATAGAATTGTGTCTCTGTGCTCTAACAGCTCATAGTAAAACCTGCATTAAAGATCTTTTTTTTTCTTAAGGTCTGGTTTAATTGCAGATGTTCTTGACACTTCACAAATACAGAAAATGGAACCAAAAATGGCTGAAACGTCAAGCATATTGTCACCTCTGATTGTAGAGATGACGAAATCTGCGATCCTCCTCATGTAGTCTGACTTAATTGACTTAAGCCCTCTTCCTCCTCATGGACCACAGCTCATCTACAGTGCTCTTCCATCCAATTCTGCCTTGTATTTTTCTGTGAAATGCAAAAGCTCTGCCTTCCTACAATGTCCCCTCTATTAAAATTAAAGTATTAAGAGCTTCTCGGGTTTTGAATCAACCGAAACAGGTACTGAAAAGCTTAGACGTAGCTGTTGTGGTGAGCCATTTTCTCTGCCCAAACCTCGATCCTTGCATGCAAACCAGGCAGTGAAAACAAAGCCAGAGAGAATCAGAGCTGAGTGCAGACCTAGACAGAGGCCACCGTGTTGACTGTAAACACACACACTGTCTGCCTGCTCAGCACAAGAGACGACAGACAGATCACTTACACACACGCACACGCACACACACACACACACACACACACACACACACACTTTTAAAGACTGTGGCACTCTCGTACCTGATGTCATACCCTCAGGCAGAAAACTCAACACACACCTGGCTCGCACACAGAGACACATTAACTGGTCAAGGAGCAAGTGGCTTCAGATAAAGACAAAGACATCATGAGCTGGTTTCATGCTGGTGTGTCTAACAAGGCAGGTCTTTGATACAGTCACACAAGCAGCTGGACGGCTGAAATTTTTCCCATTTAAGTATGCACACGTTGTTATTCGTACATCATTATATGCCAGTAAGACACTAACAATACACAACTACTACTATGCTGACAGCACTAAGATATGGACACTTGTTTCAGACGCCTTATACTATATTGATATTGATGCTGATGTGAAGTTATAACCACTTTTTGCTTCTTTTTTCCATCAGGCTGTTGAAAGAGGGGGTTGACCCAAATCACCGCCACCGCTTAGGTTGGACTGCTCTCATGGTGGCTGCCATGAACCGACAGCACAGGTTAGTGCAGTGTTTTCAACCAACTAAACCTCACTGAGCATATGTAACAGTAATGTAGTGTTTAGGTATCAAGCAGCTGTCTGCATGAGTTAGCGTGTGAGCATATGTCATCCATGTCCTAGGGTCTGGTTGTTACAGTAGGTCTTCAGAAGTGCAAAGTGCGACTTTCAGACTGACAGACGGTCTTTACCCGTTCCCCCCATCTCTCTGTCCAACAAATTAAATTAGCCTCCTGGCCCCCAGAACACACACGACAACACAGAGAGGGGCCGAGGTTAGGGCCGGGCCAAATCCAATTTACAGGGCTTCTTTTTCTTCTTTCTTCCCTCCATCAGGATCGTTTGGTCACTTTTTTTTTTTTTTGTTCAAGGGCCTCATGTGCCTGTGAGAATCGTAATGTGAAATTTGAATATCAAAATAGCTTAAAGTGAGCTTACCATAAATCTTACAGGGTTACAGTGGCTCTTTCCTCAAGTTCGTGAGATAGTTTGAATAAATGCTGCTAAAATGGAAACGTCTTGTGTGTGTGATTTGAGAGTTTGTGGCAGAAAGAAAAGAAATGTGAGACAAAGTTTGTCAGAACATTTTTTTTTACTATACGTAATGTTTCTGTGTTTCAGGTTTCAGCCTTTAATTTGTGCTAATTTAAAAGTTTGGATTATGATTTTTATATTAATGTGTTATAATACATCGAAGTGTTGAGATTGATTGATTGATTGATTAGTAGATTGACAGAATGTAAACTGTTAATAGTTCAAGAAAATATGCCAAACATTTGCTGATTCCAGCTCCTTAAATGTGACTATTAACTGGATATCTTTGGATTTTGGACAAAACAAGTGATTTGTAAACAACCCTGCATTGTTCACAAGTTTATAAACGATAATCAATCAGTTGTAAAAATGATAAGAAGTGAATGAAAATACTTGTTAGTTGCACTCTCTTCTACTCGCTCTACAATCACGTTTTGATTATTTCACGCTCTGGTGATGTTTGAGCTCCAGTATTTCTTTATATTTCCATGACGTGTGTTGAGTGATTGTCTGTGTGTAACATTGATGTATGTCATGTGTTTTTGGATACAAATTTGGTTGTACGTGTATTTGTCTTTATACACACTGTCTGTGTGTGTGTGTGTGTGTGTGTGTGTGTGTGTGTGTGTCACTGCACTGTTTTGTGTGTGTGTGTGTGTGTTATGAGTGCTATAACTCAGCGAGGCAGTGACACTCCTCTGTGTTTAATCCCGTCTTCCAACCCCCCAGTGAGCCGTCACTGCTGCAGGGAAGACAGAACATCGGTTCACACACATCTGTCACACACGTCTCTCTCACACCCACACACACACACACGCACTTCTATCCACACACACAAGTGAAGATGCACGTGTGAATGTGCGCACAAACTCACAAACAAGGGGAGTTTATACCAAATATCTTACAGGCCAACTGCCTATTACTCAGTCGCACACAACTTTATTTGCGGCCGTTAAGTGAAAACACAGGGAACATTACTCATGAACAAGGTTTCGCCCGTAGCTAGAATGTCAGTGTGGATCTTATTGTTGAATTACTTCACCCCTCCCTCACGCTGTATTTATATTTTCCCGGACCAAAAGTGATAACTATGTTTCAAGAGGCAGAGGATTTCACCACACTGACTACGTCCACCAGGCAGTCTCACTCATGTTCAGGGGTCGGGGTGCGGCTGTGTGAGAGAATCAGGGGTGGAGTAGAGGGGTGTGTGGAAGAATTAAGGGTGAGACTTCAGGGGGGCGTGTGTTTGCTTAGCTTTGATGTGGGGCTAAATCAGGGAGGTGCAGGGCCTGGCCCACTATTTGCACTCTTTAACACACAATACCCATCTCCATCTCTCTTTCTCTCCCTCCATCCCTTCCTCGCCGCATTCACGTGCACAATGAGCGCTCAGCCGAGTGTAACGCCTGTTGACCGTTCCGACCTGTCGGCCGAGTGACTCGATGGGAGGGAGGAGGACAAAACGAGGGGAAAAGCAGAGGGATGGTGGTACGAGTGGATGAGGTCGTTGGGAAAGAGAGGAGAGAATAGTTTAGATGTGGAGAGAGAGTGGCGTGGAGTGGGATTATGGGTTTGGGATCGGGATTAGCTGAATAATGGTGGAAATCACCAGAGTGAAATATTATCATTTGGTCACGATGGAACACGATTGTGACGGTAAGCAGTCTGATTTAGAGACAGAGTCAGTTACCATATATGGGATATCGTTGTTCTACATGCACAATAAGAAAATATTCCCTCACTGATAATATAATGAACAACAACTTCAAGGCTATTCTACCCTGTGCCACATTAATGGGTTCATGTAATGATTTTCAACCAACATGTGTTCTGCTAAAGCTTCCTCCTGAAGAGCCCTTTCCTTGCAGCTCTTCATCTCACCAGCCCACTGTGTCTGTTTCTGCCACTTCTCCCTGGAATATTTTAAAACTGATCTTCTGACAATTTTTTTTTTATTAAATAGTAGTAGCCTGTGTGACAAGTCAAGTTTGTTGCGGTTTTGTTACACGATGAACCTAATCTTTTTTTGGGGTCATCAGTTCCAAGGCTACCTCATTACAGTATTAAACAAAACGTTTTTTTTTCTATTTTCTTTCATTTTTTTTTTTACGTACGTGGTTACTTACAAGTCGAACCCAACCGATTTCGGGGTTTTTTTGCGATCGATACTGATACCGATTTTAGAGTACTCAGAAGGCTGCTTTCTTAAGCAAGTCACTAAATACATTACAAACATGTAATAATTAACAATAATATAATAATTTAACTTATACACATATACTACATTGTCAACCATTCTAGAAATGAACACTGAGAAAATAAAGAAGAAATAAAAAGAGAATAAAAAGGTAAACATCAGTACTATAAATGCTACGAGCATTTTTATGATAATATCGGCGCATATCCGATGACATTTGAGCAGATACAATACAATACCGATATGTCAGCAACAGGCAAATATCGGCCAACCGATATTTTGGTCGGGCTCTACTTACGAGTTCTGTGTTTAAAAAGTAAAACATTGCAGTGTAGATTTTGTATATAAGCTGGTGGTGATTCCATCTCATTTTGGACTATATACTGCAGTTAATTAAAACTACATTTTGACCACCACTCAAAATGTCTGTTAGTGTTAGCTACAATAAAAAAAGAAAGTCGCTTTGTGCAGTGAACCTCTCTTCCTGGCATCTATCTGACCCCAGGTGTTCACCAGGTGAGATGAGGTCAAGTGAGGTCCAGCGTCTGGACCAGGTGGTCAGAGACATGGATGGTCAGTTCGGCTCAGGTGTCTATTATAGCCCAGGAGAGACGGAAGTGTCTGTTTCCTGTCTTCCCTCCAGGGCCAGGATGGGAAACTAACACCAGCCCTCAGCAGTAACACCAGTCACCTGCTGGCAAACCTCGGCACGAGCTGCAAGGTTAAATCTAGCAGCCTCAGCACCGGCTGGTTAAGTGAACAGTGGTCATTATTTAAAGCTTTCAGTAAAAGAGCTCGATGGTGGTACAGCAGGAAGAACATCCTTTAACTAGATTGTCCATATTTCAAACATCTGTTCTGTAGAAGAGAAACTCCGTCTCAGCTCTGGGAGAGAAACAGATTACATTAATGTCATTTTAATACCGACTGTAGCTGTTTGAATAATGGTTTAATCTCTGGACTACAGGAAAAAAATGAGGATGTTCCATTTCAACAAAATGCTGACTATATATTTACATTTACATATATATAGAGTCATTGAGGGTCAACACAATTGGCACAAGGCTGACAAAAAAAGTTAAAGACTATGTTATATATGAGGATGTTAAGTCAGCAGCAAGTTAACTCCCTCCTCATCCAGCACACATTTTGTCTTAGTTTAGCCGTGAAAGTAAAATAATCTCGTATTAGGAAGTCTGTAATATTAGGAAGTCCGTAGGAAGTCTGTAATTTCAACTTTTGGCCCAGTCCTTTAAAATGAGAGTTTAACCTAATTAACCTCTGCATGCCTTCAGTTTGGCCTCAAATTAGTGCTGCAACTCTCCTCCTAAATGTCCCAAATAAAGTTAGCCACTTGATCATCAGTTGATTAGTAAAACTATAAACTGTTTTCAAAAGCTCATTAGTTTTAGCACTATCCTATGTAATTAAATCTCCCTCTCTTTCATCTTTGTAGCTGCACTTCCCTCCTTTCATCCACTCCTCCTCCTTCTCCTCCTCCTCTCTGCAGTTTTCCTCTCTTTATCCCTTCGTGTTTACCTTTCTGATGCCATTAACCCTTTTCAGACCATCTAATTTCTTCACACAGTCCTGCCCAGCCTCGTGTGACCGGCCATAGTTGGAGTTTGTGTGCGCCTGTATGTGTCTCGGAGGATGCATCGATGTGTTTGTAGAAGTGCTTGCAAGGGTGAGAGGAGAGCCCTCCGTGGGTCACGGCCCCCCTGCCGCCCCCAGCCACAGTGATACAGTAACAAAAGGGGACCCCCCTATAGTCCTTTATACCCTCTCAGCAAGGTCAGACACAAAGACCTGGCTAGGCTGTTCTCAGCCTCGCTCTCCCACAGGAACACACATGGACTGTAGTGACGACACAAACTCCCAAAGTCAGATTGTAATTATGTTAATGGTTAAGGCAAAATTTGTCTCGTTCTTATTCTGGGTTTTCTTTAGTTCAGCTGATATATTTTATTGATAGAGTCATTTGCTTGGATGATATACTCTACTGTGGGCATTATTCATTATATTCTGATAAACGTTTTATAGAGGAATAAGTCAAAAAAAATGTGCAGGTTAATTTTTGATTAATTAATTAACAAAATGATGGTTGCATCCCTGTTTGCATTTAATCACACATGCTTCAAATATCTTACAGTCTGTTGTCAAATACACAATGTTTTATATTTTTAACACATTTTTGTCCTGTTGAAATATCTTCTGACTTTCTTTTTAACCCAGACTTTTTCTGTTGCTGTATCAAGTGAACAGGATGTATAATTTGACTCCTCACCTGTAAATTGACTCAAATGTAACATCAGAATTGACTTGCGCAGTTGCTCTATCATTCTTGACGTCAAACCTCCTGCCAATACTCGTTTTTAAGAACACAGGGAAGCTGTAGTCTGTTACATGGTCAAGTGTAGTTGCTCTAAAAATGGAGTCCACCCCATCCTCTTATGAATAATCATTTTGCTCCATTTAAGCCCTTTCAGCCGCCATGCCAAAACCATTTAGCTGAAAATGATCCATCACTCCCTCTCGGGCTGCATTACATACTCACAGGTTTAATGACAGCCAGCAGCGTACTGGCAGGGTTCATGTTTCGGCCATCGCCCCCGTTCTCTCTCTCATTCGGCACAGACTAGCTGGCTAGTTTTTGTGTGGGTTCATGTGTTTGTGTCTCAATGTCAAAGCCATTGCTCACGTTCATGGTGGTAAAGTGTGAGTGTGTTCTGTAGACGGAGAGACGGTACCTGGAATGTCCGCTGGGTCACAGTTAGTGGTGTTGCCGAGGTACTCGTGTTTGTTCTATAAGGCGGTACGCTCCAATGAAGGGCTACACACAAACACCCACACACAAGACAGCGCCGGAAACATGCCCGACCCTTGCCCCTTCATCGTGCACATGTGTACATGTTAGGAAGCAGCAAATCAGGTGAAAGAGTCATTGTCAGTTGAGGAATTAGATATTTGCATCTGTGTACAGCACGTTTCTTTTTAGGATGGGAGAAACTTTGAGGGAACTTTAAGGGTCAAAGCTATGTTTGATGACGTGATGTCATGTGATGTGAATTTTCACAGGATTCATCAAAAATGAGGACCCCCAGATACGTACTCTATAACCAGTTGGATGTACTAATATCGCCATATATGTTGATATAACAATATAAAATGTACACATTTTGTGATCGAAGACTTTATCCATATCACCAACCCACAGACTGGATTATATCTTTAATATCTGGACCAGGCTGTAAATACTGAATTATAACAGTGGGAAAATCTGCACATACATTATTACATGTATTTAAATGTGTGTCTGTGTCCTTTGTTGTTTTCCAGCGTGGTGAAAGTTCTGCTCGAAGCTGGTGCCGACCCAAACGCTGGAGATCACTTCAACAACGTTTACGACACCTCGCGGGAGAAAGGCATCCACTCACTGGAAGGTGAAAAAAAAAAACCACTTTGAGACTGTGTGTGCATTCATCATACGCATGTTTGTGTGTGTGTGTGGTTGCTATATTACACATATGAATCCTAAGTGTTCAACCAGATATTATGAGACATTATGATTTGCATAAAGATTTGCATATATGTACACGCTTCATTTCGTCCGTAGTATTTATTTTATATGTTCTGTGACAAGTTGTGTGTGTTTTATTTGTTTTTCTTCTGCGCTCGCACACAAACCCGCAGACAGGCGCGCGCGCACACACACACACACACACACACACACACACACACACATCCTTACCCCCTCCTTGTCTGTGTTGGGTTTCTGCAGACATATTTATATGGGATATGTATATTGCAGACATTTATATGGCTGTCAGGTTTGGGTCCACGTGGGGCCGGCGTAGCGTGGGGAAGCGTTTCCCAGACGCACGCTGATGGATGGGCTAAGGGGGCCTGTGCGACGCTTTATTGGGTTAGCTATGATTATCCCGCCCTGTCTCTCTCTCTCTCACACACACACACACACACACACACACACACACACACACACACACACACACACACACACACACACACACACACAGACACTGCAGAGAGAGACTGCCAGAGAGAGAGAGAGAGAGAGAGAGAGAGAAAAAGAGTGGGATGGATGGAGGAAGGGAAAGACTGATGAAGGAAGGATGAAAAGAGGAAGGCAGTGAAAGAAAGCGAGCGGAAGGGAAGAAGGTAGAGAGCAGGGATGGATGGAGTGTGGGGGAGGTTAAAGATGGAGGAGAAGGAAGAAGATGTGGATGTTTGGAGGGGTGATAGAGGGAGGGAGAGATTGAAGGAAATGGGTGGGATGATGAGGGAGGGAGAGGAAGTCAGGAAATGGATGAGACAAAGTTATTGGGATAGAGGGAGCGGGGAGGGAGGAAGGGAGGGATGGAGGAAGAGGGTGCGAGTGATGAAAGGAATTGATGGATACTGAGGAGGAGAGGAAGGAGGCGGAAAAATAAAAATGGATGATGGAGGAGTGGCACGAGATGAGTGCTCTTATGAAAAAGAGAAGTAAGGAGAGAATGATAGACTATCTCTATTATTAGTAAGGAGCACAGCAAAGGAGACCCTAAAACACAACTTGTATTATTCCTATCGTGTTGGACAGTTGAGCTTAAATTTGTGAAAATGAACAACTCTTCTGAAGCTGGAAACAGGAAAGACAATCTTGTAGTCTGCAGCGTTATCATTGACACACTTTCTCCAGTCTTAGCGTTGACTGTTCTTCCAGGTTTAGAGGCTCAATCATTTTTAGATAGAGTTGTTTGTTAATTCATTATACTCATCTGCTCAGCTCCACAAAGTATTCTGGTTACATCTCAGATTGGAGTTGTATTTTGTCACATCCATTTTGAGTCTAAACTAATTTAAAGAACACTATTTTTTTAATTCTTCGTGTTAGAAATCATCTCAAGAAATTTTGTAAAGCAGCAGGCTTTTTATGTGTCATCTCTCCCTGTCAACCAGTGCATGTTCTGTAATAGAAAAATGCCATCTTTTGTTCTGATCTTTCCTCTCTGCTCTCCGTCCCTCCCTGCAGTTCTCGTGTCCAGAGAGGATGAATTCAGCAGCCGGCTCAGCAGCAGGGCCGGCTTTCGTGGCTGCACGGCGCTTCACTACGCCACGCTGGCTGATGACCCAAGCGCCGTCAGCATGCTGCTGGAGGCTGGTACGTCCCCCCTTACCCTCCCCAACCTCATCCCTATTCCCACTTTAGAGACTAACAGGGACCTCTGAGGGTCTAGATATCTACTCTATTAGTTGCTCCTACAGTTTGCATAACAACTCTGCAGTTTTACATCGTGGTGGTATGAGTTGATTCTCTAACATGCCCCTAAAAAATAGTGAAAATCTTAGGATCAGTTTCTTGGCTAATAAGTGCCTTGATTTTATCGAGGGTAATGTTATTCTATTGATGTGCTCCATCCTGACCACCTATAAAACAGAGAGAGAGAGAGAGAGAGAAAGAGAAAGAGGTTGGAGGATTTTTGCCCCTTGCTTAGAAGAACAAAGTCCATCCCATCATGAGGGAAAACTGAAAAAACAAATAAATAAATAGATAAATGAATTTGAATTTCTGTCAAAACACTTTTGTTTTGCATGCATAGATTCATGGATATACACAGGTTTGTGTTTTGTTTGTCACTGTGCTTTTTTGGGATAAGATTGTTTGTATATTGTTGATTCATGTGCACAGATTATTAATTATATTGAGCAATTTATTAATTTGAGGAAACAAATGACATATTCAAGGATAGCAGTTTTATCACGGCACATGCCAAGCTCCGTACCTTGATCTCTGCAATCCAAACAAAATGGTACTCATTCTGCCCTCGGAGCTGGAGGCAGTATCATCTCTATCAGCTTTAAAAAGCTTTCCATGTATCATCATCTTAACGCTTCCACCCCCGAGTAATATAAACAGTATTACAAAGCTCATTTGAAATTGATCACTTGTTCATACCCCCTCTCCATTCACCCCCATTACACTCGCACCTGTCGTTGACTCAGCTCCACTGACACACACACACACACACACACACACACACACACACACACACACACACACACACACACACACACACACACACACACACTCTCGTAGACCCTGGGGGCAGAATATCCCCCTCAGTTTCCAGGCGAGCAGCTCTTAAACAAGCTCGGCCTAGTTGAACTGTGACCTCCGCTCAGAACATGCCCTTGGGGTAACTCCACAATCACAGGATGTGTATGTCTTTGTGAGTGTGTATGTGTGTGTGTTTGTGCACTCAAGCCTCCATTTCATTAATTAAAATATTCATATATTCATGTATGCTTTCATCCTTTTTATATGTTTAAGTTTGTACACGCCTTTTTGAATCATTTGTAGTTGTTGCTTTTTAGGCCTTTTAAATCTGAAAAAGACAACATTTTTTTGGATCAAACACCAACCACCATCACTATACACACACAAGCTAGTATTAATGTCTTGTTTATGTTTATGATGGATGGTGCATTCAAAGCTGTCTGCCTGTCTCACCCGTCTCACCCCTGCGTCTGTAAGCACTCTGTACGCTTAAACAAATCACTTCGTCTAACTCGATAAAATGTTCTGCAGTCGCATTTTTGAATTAAAAAGGTAAGAAATTTCACAAAGCAGAGACATTTGTTTTAAGATAATCACATTAAAGACAGGGTGGGTTGTTCCTCGCCCGACTGGGCCGTTGCCGGGGTTGGCGCCGACATCACAGCCAATAACAATCATGACATCGCAGACTTACAATCACAAACACATTACTGTCCATGTGCATGTGTGATCCTGTGTGAATGGACGCTTAATTAAAACTTTTATACAAGTTTTTAATGAGTGTTTGATTATTCTTGACAAAGTTTGTGTCATTTGTCTTTTTCTTTAATCCATTTCCCCTTCGTGGCCTCCTATCCATCTTTTTTTCTTACCATCACTAGAAAAATCTTATAAACTCCCACAGCTTCGGGACATCTATGTGGATTTGGGTGTGTATGTGTCATCTTCCCTTCATGTATGTGCACATTGCATGTGTATCTTATACCTTATTTCCCCTGTGTTTGTGTGCGTCCATGTTACTCTACTAGCCGTGGGTTTGCTCTTTTGGCCTTAGCCGGCCCTCGACTCACACCTCCATCCATCACAGTCTTCAGGTCCGCCCCCGGGCCTCTCCTCGGCCCTCAGTCCCTCATGCTACCTGCAGAGGCTCTGTAGCTCCTCCCCAGGCTCCACATCAGGCCCGTGGCCAGGGGCACACTCGGTAATGGACGGCTCCGTAGGTGGTAGGAGGCCAGAAGAGACACACATGCTCACAGACGCACACAATACAGATATAAGGACACACTCACACACGCACAAAGACCAGCAGGGGCTCTCTCCCACCAGCTGCAGTGAAAGAGAGGGAGGAGGAAATAGGAAAGAGGAGGGGATTCCTAATAGGCATAACTAAAGCACTCCTAATGAAGGGATCCTGTGTATGCGAGTGTGTGTGTGTGTGTGTGTGTGTGTGTGTCTGTGTGTGTGTGTTTGTGTGTGTGTGTGTGTGTGTGTGTGTGTGTGTGTGTGTGTGTGTGTGTGTGTGTGTGTGTGTGTGCGTGAATGTTCAGCTGGGGTGTGTGTCGTTAGTGTTGATCCTGTTATAAAGTGCTATGGCCCAGAGGGTTGGCCTGATATTAAAGCCCTAAATGATGCTATTTATTATGTCCAGTGTGTGTGTGTGTGTGTGTGTGTGTGTGTGTGTGTGTGTGTGTGTGTGTGTGTGTGTGTGTGTGTGTGAGAGAGTGAGAGTGTAGGTACTTTATTGCTTTCCTCCCTCATGTTTTTGGTTGGTGGGTGGGTGGGGGGGGGGTTAGTGGTGTATTGTTGTCGGGATCGATAGCTTCATGAGCAGGTCACAAAATTTAGGGGTTTATCGATAATCATCACAGTGATTATTAGTCTCTGCGGTCAGTGCTCAGAGCAATAGGAACAACCAGCACTTGTATTGATTACATACACTGTTACAGTTTTCGTGAGTGTAGCTCAGTCAGAAAAACTTCAGATGGGTCATCTGGTTCTTAATGCACCATTCAACATCTTGTACACACAGTATAGTGGTCGTTAATGTAGTTTCTGTGCATCATTTTTAGATTCAGTACAAATCTCTGCCCTCGTCAGCTGAAGGGTTACAGTAGAGACCTTAATATACTCTTGAATATGTCTACAATGAGTTTTATCACTTAGTCATCTCATCCTTTCATGTCACCAGTGAGGTTTGTCCAGAGAAATCCATGCGTAACAGGAGTGCTGCATTGTGTTCATCTCTAGAATGAAGCCCTGAACCTGCTGTTTGTTGCCTGTATTGGTAAATGCAGGAATAGGGTTAGGTATTGTTTGACATTTTTGATACTAGTGCTGACACAGTATGTGAGTTTTGACATGTTTTTCTCCATACCATAGTTTGAGGATTATAACATGTTTCTGCAAAATCTCAAATGTTAAATGTTGTCTGACTTTGCCTGAATAATAAGTAATGAAGAGTACAAATCTGAGCAAAGCTTTCAGTACAAAGGCTTTAGGTTAAAATACATTGGTGTCATCAATGAAATATTAAAGACTTTTTATTATCCTTGAAGTACCTTGTTTACGACACTATTCTCCAGAGAGCACCTTTGTTCGTTGAATGAGGCCTTTTTTGAAAAACCTTTTGTTTATAAAACAGATTAATGCACTTTTTTTGATGCTTGGTGCTATGGACACACCAGAAAAGTATTGAGGTTTGATACTGAGCCCTCGCCTGGCGGTGGGCATGTGTAGACCTGAGCTACACATTTTTATGTAATGGCTGTTACTTTGATTGTTTACAAAAGGATGCTTTTCATATGTGTAGTTGATCTTCTGAAAAAACAGAAAACTATTCCTTTCCATTATTTATTGCATTTTGTCTCCGTTGTAGACGATGTGATGGAAACCTACACTTGTTCATGTGTAGGCACGTGTGTGTTGGTGACTCTGGGTTGAGAGCGGTGGCACAGGTCAGGGCAGAAGGCACTGCTAACCACCCTCACTGACAAGCCTGCTGCTGTCCAGTCCTGGCACACTTCACACATGCTGTGATATGTTTCTTCCTCATTTATGCTTAGATCTGCTGTTTAACAACAGTTTTCCTCTTTTGACCCCTCCTGCTGTGTGGAAGTGCGATGGCCCCCAACCTGCATCACCCTGCATTGTGTATAGATTGTATAATAATCCAGGGTGTTGGTGTGCGGGTGTAAGGGTCAAAGTGTGTGTTATTGGCACGCGTTGCAGATATGAAACCCCCTACAGGGTCATTGCGTGGCCCTCCTTCTTCACTGCAGTGTCCGTGACCCCTGAACCCACGTGACCTCTCACCCCTAACCTCACTCTCTCGATCGACGTGTCGACCCTCCTGCTGAGGTGTTGTGTGCATATTCTTGTACTTAGAATATAAAAGATAGATACATTTTTATAAAAAGAAATGTTCTGTTGTTGATTTCAACCACTTTATGAGTGTCTAGAAGTTATTGGATTTTTTTTTCCTAATGTATGAACGATTTGTGTGTGTGTGTTACATGTTTGCATACAGGTGCCAACCCCCTGCAGACCAATGGTTTGGGACACACAGCACAGGCCTACGCTAAGGAGGGAGACGTGAGCACAATACTGCAGCAGTGGGAGGGCAAGGTATGACGCACTCATACAGACACACAAACACGTTGTTGCACAGAATGTTTGAACAATTAAAACAACATTAGTTTCCAATGTGCTCTAATGCTTTTGATACTGTAGTTGTTTCCTGTGGCCTGGTCTGAATGATTCAGCACAATTCACTCAGCAGACATCTGTGTCATTTACTTGCCTTCATGCACGCAGACACACACTCCTCAGGAGGTCTGTGTCATCCTGGTGACTGAGTGACAGGTGCTATTGAGTATTAGAGTTGTGAAAGCTGGTGGAGGTTAACTGGGGTTAAAAACATGTTCCTAAGAGTGAAGTTGGATTATATGTCACCTTATAGACATATTGTTAAATGGGACTAGATAATCTGAATTGTGATTTCGCTTACATGTAGTGTTTTACCTTGATCTTAAAGGCTCTCGATGGTCATCATCTTGCATTAAAATGAAAATAAATCACTGCACTCTGCATCAAACCACGGCACATAGCCAGGCAATGAATCTTCACAAACAACCACCTCAGAAATCTTAATACCCAGATTTTTTCAAGCACTTTGTTTCTTTAAAATTTCTTGCATAAAAATATCTTCTGAAATCAGTCGTCTCCAAAATATTGTCATGTTATTGATATCAAGATATGTGGTCTAAAATATATTGATAGAATAATGTATTTACGATTGCCATCACTTAAAAATTCATGTCAGTTTGGTCAGATGAGGCAGCATGGAGATTTGATTCAGCACTTTCTGCTCTTGTAAGCATTAACATAATCACAAACACTTTAAAGATACACTAAGCACGTTATAAATACACTGTAAAAGAATCAGTTCTCCTTTGTCTAATATTTTCTTGGATGGAAGTCTGACTGAGGCTGATCTTGAGGCAGGTTTGAAGTGTACAACACTATACAATCAGCTGAGTGAAAGGAACTCCTCACTGCTCAGCTCTTGGTATTTCACAGTGGTATAGTAGTAGAAGCGGGGTCTGCTGTTCTTAAATAAAACTTGAGTTATCCGTAGTTATCTACCAGCTTGACAGCAGGCCAGCGCTAAGCAAGATGGAGAGAGAGAATAAACAGCCTGCCTCCACTGCAGGGCAAAAACGTGGAGTCTGAGGAGACAAAGAGGAGAGGATGAATGAGTCATGGGCGGCTGCGAGGAAGAAAGAGGGAGAGAAACTGGGCGGGGGGTGTAAGTGTGAAAATGAGACATGAAAATAAGGGGAAAGAAAAGATCTGGGCAGAGAAGGAGAGGTGGAAAGAGATCAAATCAGCAGCAAAGAGGAAGTGTGTCAGAGAAATGGAGGCTAAGGCTGATAGAGGTAGAGTGAGTTAAAGAGGAGGAAGGGAGAAAGCAGATAGCTGCTGGGAAATGACTCGATGAAGTTGGTGGTAGGGAGTGAAGGGAGGAACTAGAGAGACTGAGAGAAAGAAGGAGATGCATTTTAAAAGTTTCAGTCCACAGTTTCTGTGATATCTAACACATTGACGAAATGATGGTGTAAATATTGTATTCTTTACGTAGCTTTGTTTACAAAATACTGTACATCCATTAATTTATTTTCTTATGCAAGTAACAAAAATCAGCTCCTGCACACTGTACATTTATTGATGAAATAACAACAAAGGGCACTTACAGGATGGCTGAAGAAAATGCCTGACGAAAGTCGCCTAACTGAAATGTAGCTCAGCAGTTACTTTATAAGTTTTGACAGTGTGCTGGAGCTCATTATTGTTACTTTGACTCCTAACTTATTGTACTAGGCACCTGTCTGAATATCGGCGTGCAAAGATCACATTTCTTGTACGTCATCATGAGATTGAGATTAATGGTTTCCAAGCATTTTGGAAGACAGCTGGCTTTAACTTGAGAGTCCAGTCAGGTCAATTTTATTTATATAGCCACAAATCACAAATATCAATCTGTACAACCCGCGACACTCTCTGTCCTTATAAAATGATTTGGTTAAGGGGAAATATGGAGGAACAGCTTTATTGCTTTATTGTAGGGATTCTGAGTTAAACAGCCTTACAGTCTATGGATGAGTTTATGCTGCTCACTCTGTACTTGTTTTATGTCTTTGTAGTGGGGGTGAGGTTGGTAAAGGTGGTAAAGAACAAAATGTAATGATACTAATAAGACTTTTCCTTGAGAGTTAATTTCCTACTTTGCCACTTTTTTTCCCCTCTAATGTCTCCTTTCTCTTTCTTTCATCTTTTTTCTGTATGTTCATCTTTTTTTTACTCCCATCTAGTTCCAGGAGGCGCAGGCTCGGCGGGAGGCAGAGGAGAGGAGGAGGTTCCCCCTGGAGAGGAGGCTGAAGGAGCATATCATTGGACAGGAGGGGGCCATTAATACTGTGGCCTCAGGTAAACACACACACACACACACACACACACACACACACACACACACACACACACTATTTTTATATATATATATATATATATATATATATATATTATATATATATATATATATATATGCAGTTCAATGGATCCATACACCACAAATAACAAGTGGACATAAATACATGCTTTTAATCCACAGCCTCTTCCTCCTCCTCTTTGTTTCCATGCTGCTTTTTTCTTTTCTGTTTTCTTTATTTTCTTTTTTTTCCCCAGTTTGTTTCTGTTTTGTGCTCTCCTCCTTTTCCTCTCTCTTGCTCTCCTCCCTTCCCTCCCGCAGTAGGCGGGTTCAGACAGACCGGCGGAGGCTGTAATTGGTTAATTGTGATGAATGAGCTGTCTGTCAGGCATACACAGGTGCTGTGTGCATGTGTGTGTGTGTGTGTGTGTGTTTGTGTGTGACAGCTGAAGAGGCCAGGCTTGGAGCCGCCAGTTAACACGATTACAGAGAGAGGAGACATACTACAGACCCCCCCTCCTTCACCCCTCCTTCTTCTTTTTACTCTCCCTCTTTCTGATTTCCCCCTCTGTCTATCCTCTCTTTCCTCTCCTCAGTTTCTCTCTCTCTCTCTCTCTCTCTCTCTCTCTCTCTCTCTCTCTCTCTCTCTCTCTCTCTCTCTTTACCCCCTCAATCTTCATCACGCCCACTCTTTCTCCTTCACCCTTCTGTCCTTTCTTACTTTCACTTTGTGGCCTCCACCTTCTGCATCTTTCCATCATCGTTCCTCCGTGCTGTGCCGTCCATCTCTCCTCTTTGTAACGCAGGGAGGGAGTCGGGGATGGGCAGGCAAAAAAGCTAAAGTGATGGAGACAGGAAGGGAAAAAAACTGATGAGACGGGGGTAAAACAAATGGAGGCAATGGGAGACAAAAAAGAGACAGGAACGCTGATGGGAGAAGATAGCAGAGAAGTAGCTGAGAACCAGAAAGCTCGGAGCATCGACAGAAAGACAAAGAGAGCGAGTGTAATGCATGGAGAAGAGCCGGGAGGATGAGTTAGAGCACAATAACACAGCAGACAGTAAAGAGCTGATATTACACCAGGCATCCATGGAGGCCATGTATTGATCCGCAGATGAGTGAGTGTGTGTGTGTGTGTGTGTGTGTGTGTGTGTGTGTGTGTGTGTGTGTGTGTGTGTCAGAAAGGGTTCTGTAGCGAAGAAAGAGGCTATGTGTTATTTTTATGATCTTGGACAGATTTGTGAAAATAATCAACTCACTCCCAAAGCTAGAAGCGGATATTATAATCTTCGATGTTTTTTTGTGAGAGCAAATACAGCAGAGTTTATAACCAACAGGAGAACAACTTGGATTTTTGCCTCCAGACCTCATTAAAAAAAAAAACACCATATATCTATAAATACAAACTATAAATGTTTAAAAACTCAAATATAATTGCTGTTTGAGCAGCAGTTACAAGTGTCAGTGAAGGTTTTGCTGGGAGTCGAGGAAGGAAGAGAGAATCGTGGGACATGTAGTCTTTGGCAAGGTGATGAATGATTGTTGTTATCATGGCAAATTGTCCTGAAAGCTATAGAAGACATCACCACAGTGATAAAGGAACAGCTTATTGATCTCTGAGAAGTATTACAGTGAATATATAACACACACACACACACACACACACTTAAAGTGAGCTAGAGAACACGCCTAAAAGAGGCAGACAGAGGATCCATCTGCAAAGATATTTACAAAAACATGTTATCTGCTCCACATGTATACTTATATTGTTGTGCAATGCTGGCAGTTTTTAGGTGAGTCGAGCAGGAATCGGCCAAAGAGTCAGAGAGGAGAAGTAGAGATTACAGATGAGGAGATACACTAGGAAAGAGAGGAAGGGATACACTGAAGATAAGGAGACAAACAAATGAGAAAGGGATGTAGAGATAATAAGAGAACAGGGAGCTGCACATGACCGGATTATGTCACCGCAGAGGCAACACATACAACAACATATTTTACTACACTATATATTATGAGTTCTTACAATGATGGACAGAAATCTGCAACTCTTGATTATCTTTTCATTTGTTGATTATTTCTATTATTAATTTAGTCTGTAAAGTGAAAATTGTCCATGACAGGGGCCATCCTGGTGGTTGTCACATGTCATCACCACTTCTCCTTCCCTATGATTCCTCTCTGCACTGTAATACTGTCAAAAAAAAAAAGTAAAACATTTCCCAGAGCCCAAGGTAACGTCTTGAAATTGCTCGTTTCCTGTGACAGACGGCCCCAAACCCAAAGATATTCAGTTTATAGTGATATAAATCAGAGAAAAAAAGCCATTTGAAAGCAGGAAATGGAAAATTATTTGGAATTTGTTCTTGATAAGTTACTTAAACTTTATCTCAGTTGTTTAAGATAAATTTTATATCTCTCCGCCATTGATTAATCAAATAATTGCTTCAACAATAGTCGTCTATGTGTATGTAGAAATGTATCACACCAGAAGTTCAGATAAGGAATTAGTTTAATAAGTTTTGTGATTCATTTTATTTTTTTCATGTTTTGCATTTGGTGTGTTGCCATGTCTCCAAAACGCCTGTTTCCACCTGAACTCGTCATGACGAACAGCTGGCCTGCAGCGAGATATACAACTATACACACACACACACACACACACACACACACACACACACACACACACACACACACACACACACACACACACACAGGAAGGAGGTTAGATTGATCCAGGTTTAGCTCTCAGGGCTAAGAGTTATTGAAGAGAATCATCCCTCTGTAATCATGTTAGAGCCAACCAGACCTGCCCAATACACACTGCTCTGAGTGTGTGTGTGTGTGTGTGTGTGTGTGTGTGAGAGAGAGTGTGTGAGTGTATGCATGTGTGCGTGAAAGAGAGAGAGAGAGAGAGAGAGAGAGAGCCAGCTTTCATTTGTTTTGTGCCTCCTTCTTTTCCTTGTTGTTGTCGGGCTCCTCTGAGAAATGTCAATGTGCCCTTCTGTCAAAGTCGGTCTCAATCAGCTAAAACACACACAAACACACAGAAGGTTACGCTGTCATTCACACAGCCGTTGATAAAGCAGACGGAGCTTTGGAGCCCCTCTTGTCACTATTCATCTCCGTGTCCATCTCTGACACACTCGTTTGTTTCTCTACCTCATTCTCTGTCTCCTTATCTCCATCACTCCTCTCTCTTTCCCCTCTTTATCTCCCTTCACATCCTTACTCCTCTTTCCTCTGCTTATCTTTGCTCCTCCTGCCGCTTTCCTCTCTACTGTACCATGTCATCTCGCCGACTCTCTGCCTCCCTCATTCTCCCTCTCCTTCTCCTCTCCTGCCAAGCATCTGTTCTTTATGATTATCAGCTATTAGTAGCTAGTTTAGCACTCAGATCTCATGTCTGTCGTGAAGTATTTTAGCTTCGCTGCATCACACACAGAGCCTCTTAGCCACTGCGGATTAAAATGAGTGAGCAGGAAAGGGCTCGTTGTTTTGGTAAAAGATGCTTTGATTGTAGATGTTGTTGGACTTGAATTTAAATTTTGGTTCCTCGGATTTCTCCTGTGACTTATCTCGTTCTGGTTGAACGTGTTAACTTGTCAGGAAATGTACACTTATGAAACGCATTGTTTAAGCTGTTTTGCTACCTATAAGACATATGCTGAGAACGCCTGAGAAAGGCAAATACATGGCAGGCGTATGAGAACTGGTCAGAAAGTGAAGGACAAATGTGGCATAAAGGCACCAGACGGCTAAACCTTCACCAGTGTTTTTGGGTCGTCTTCTCACTTGTCAGATTCAAATGGACAGACATGTACTGTGTTTTATCTGGTTAAATATACGATCCAGAGGTAAAGAAGCCAAAGAAAGGCCTAGTGTGTGAGAGGGCAGATTGCGTGTCTCAGGCTAAGAAAAGTCGCCTTGAGGTGGCAGTATTTACATGCCAACCCTAAAAATTCTAATTAAACATTTTACACTTATATTAATAAAATAACCATACTAAATTCATTCTTTTACTAATCACTTGGTTGTACTTGTATTAGCTCCTAGTATTTCTTTTTCATGACAATGAACATTTGATGGATGGGACGGTTTCTGTACAAACAGAATAATTCTGTTGAATAGTTTGTTTCAAATATTTAAAATCTCTAAAAAGCAAAAGTTCACAGTGGAGCTGATACAGGTTTCTGTGTAAAGACATTAAGATTATGACTCTGGTGCAGAGTGGACAAAAAGGAACAGGGTAAGTCATTTATTACCTAGAAGTTGTTATTTCATGAGATACGGGATAAGTTGTATAGAAATGTTACGATCACTGGTATACCAGCTCTGCAGCAGCATGTCTGTTGTACTGGGAGGTCTTGCACAGCTTGTAACAGGAGCTGTGGTTATGTTTGTGTCCTCTTTATCAAGATTTTCTGTACCTGTTTATTATTTTGGAGCCTCCCATCCCCTTAATGGTGGGGTACACTGTGTTGCCAGTCTATCTCAAGGCGAACACTGACACAATCACATCCATACCTATGAGCAATTTAGAGATTCCAATTAATCTAAAATGTATGTCTTTTAGAGTAAAACAGAAAACAGCTGGCACAGTCCACAGCCAGATAACACAGAGAGGACCCGAGCTGCCAGTGGATTCGAACCCAGGGTCTTTGTGCTCGAGGCAGCAGTGCTAACCAATAAACCACTACACCACCGAGTTGTTTTGATCCTGCTGGCTAAAACCCTGCTCATACATGGCTCTGGTTTTGGCCCCGGCCTCTCAACAGCTTCCGATTTGGATGAGTTTGTGCTAGTGTCTGCTCCTTCGTTGAGTGGCCAAACCACGGCCAAATACACCCTTTACTCCACTCCGACCCACCTCATCATCTTGTCTTTGTGTATGTGTGTGAGTGTGGTTGCTGGGGTGATGGCAGGGTTGGGTAGGCACTCCTCTTTAAGCAAGTGTGTGTGTGTGTGTGTGTGTGTGTGTGTGTGTGTGTGTGTGTGTGTGTGTGTGTGTGTGTGTGTGTGTGTGTGTGTGTGTGTGTGTGTGTGTGTGTGTGTGTGTGTGTGTGAGGCTGCGATCCATGCTAAACTGATTTCGCCATGGCCGCGCCAGGGAGGCTAACACAATTACTGCTGGCTAATGGCCCCACTGACTGAGGGGGGAAGAGAGGCATCGTGGGTAGCTTTCTGGAGGTCTCTCATCTTGCTCTCTTGCTCTGTTTTCTCTCTTCTTTTTCTTTTTTTCTCTCCACCAAATGTGTCTGACCCTTTTCTCATCCCTGCTCCCTCACTCTTTTATCATAGTTTCTGGGATACCCGCTGCCCTCAGGTCAACCGGGTTCAGTTGGGTGAAACTTAAAATACTTAATGCAAAAAGCAAAGTCAACAAATGTAAATGAGTGGAATAATAGTCCTCCCTTTCTTTCTCCCTCTCTCTGCACCCTGTAGCCATCAGAAGGAAGGAGAATGGTTGGTACGATGAAGAGCATCCCCTCGTATTCCTCTTCCTCGGCTCATCAGGAATCGGTAAATGTCACCTTTCACACCCAACACACAAAAAAAAACTCCTCTTCGGTTTCCTAAAAGTAGCTGCCAAAACAAACAGAGCACTTGAGTAAGTTCAGTTCCTGAAGTTTGTGTATTTTCCTCCTGCCAGTCTATTGATTTCAAAAGACGCAGAATACACAAGACTACAAAAGACTACAAAAGACTGTAAAACACAAATTGGAGAAACTCCAAAGTATTCAGTGAATGAGTTCGTCTCTGAGGTGTCATAATTTACTAGAACACAATTTAAAAGAATAATTTAAAGCAGCATTTTATGACTTTCTCACATCTGCTTATTGAATTGATTAAATGTAATTCAGAGATAAAAAGAGGGGCTGTATTTGATGATGAAGTGCCTGTTCGACCTAGCTAGTGTACTATTCCTACAGCCAACACAGTAACAGGTTGGCAGACTATTAGCTAATGTTAGTCGTGTTCCCAACCAGAGTTTCTAGTGTTATTACAGCGAACAGCCATTTTATGTGAGTAAAAATAGTTGGGTTGGGACAGGGGCAGAGTGTTTAGAAAAGGAGGAGATCATTAGTGTGGTGAATTTATTCTGTGGTTACATGCAGTTATTAACAGCAGTGACACCACATTTAGTCCCGCCCATAAAGACCCTGATTGACTCACAAACAGCAGACAATTTTGAATCACTGATAACATTTTAGGTCTGGAAAGGAGCTAGTGTTAGTGTTTACTCAGCAGAATTGGTACTAAAGTTTATATTATTACACAGTACTACACAAAATATATAAAGATGTTTACAGACAGTCAAAAAAAAAAGCACAAACGCGCTTATAAAAGCAGATCCTTCTGGATACTGGTTTAGAATTGGGGTTTGTGTATGATCTGGAAGAAACAGCTGATGGCACTTTATAACACTGTAACACTGTCTTTCTGACACACAGCATTGAAAGGGAACAAATCTCAGAGCAACACTAACAAAACAACAAAATGAAATCCACTGGGGATGAATTGAGATTGTCTAAATTCTGCCTGGAAATTTGTGCTACAACAGATCCACACTGACACTCCTCTATCCATGCATATCGTCCACCGTAGGACAACAACATGCCGGAGAAAAATAACCTTTAAAAAAACAACCACTGGCCTTCTTTCGGCTAAGTGTGTACTGTGGAGTTTTAGATAAACTCTGTATCAGCAGATTTTCAATATTAAAGGACATTTCTAGTTTAGAGAAAAGCTCAAATGTTCTCAAACAGCAGCATGATGATGAAGAAGAGTGTGTGTGTGAGAGAGAAAAAGGGAGATGGAGGGATATTAAGGGCCAGATAGATGGCTAAAAAAGAGGGAGATGGTGAAATGACAGGCCAGAGAGATAGATGAAGGAGAGACGGTGTTCATATTCTCTGTTGCCTTCAGCGACAAACAGTGGCCACGAGACATCAATATTAAACACAGCAACAAGACACAGCCTCTCTCTCACTCACTCACACACACACACACACACCATACCCATATGCATACCAAACACAAGACATCAATATCATATATGAGCATTTATATGCAGAATATTTTACCGACAAACATAATGTGTGCTTCTGGAGAGCAGGAGATGATTGAAAGCTTTGCAGAGGGGGAGGCACTGAGATTCAGACCAGCACTTAGAGAAGGAGAGAGATTGTCTTTCTGTCTGAAATGAGTGTTTGTTTTCTTTACTTCCTGAAATCTCTGCATACTTATGTATTACAAAAAAGAAATGAGCAGGGGTTGTTTTTTTTGTTATATTAAAACCCAAGTAATTAAATGATGTCTCTGTTTACTCTGACTGGTTGTCACAGGGAAGACAGAGTTGGCCAAACAGGTGGCTCGTTACATGCACAAGGACATCAAAAAGGTATGTAATGTAAAACACATTTGAGGAAGTGACAGAGAATTCAATTTGTGTCGGTTTCCATGGTAACCATTAGTAGCACAGCGATACAGTAGCAATGGAGGTAAATCCGTCGTGTGATTGCAGGGTTTCATCCGTATGGACATGTCCGAGTTCCAGGAAAAACACGAGGTAAGACACTTTTTATACGTACCAGATACGTCGGTGTGAATCCAGGTTGTTTCTGATGCCTGAATCCAACAAACTGTGTTAAATGTTTGGTGCTCAGATGGAGGTACAGAGTATCTGTTACAGTTGCATCACTCTGCTGCAATGACGCATTGGATTAATTCTGTTTATGTACTCATAATGGATGCATAAACCAAAATTAATGTTGTTTTTTTGCCCTGTTCTGTTCTCCTTTGTGAAGCTTTAGTGATGAATACTTTTAATCAGTGAATCAGAGTTGCGTTATTTTACGACATTGTGCACAGTTTGCAGCAACATAATGAATTATAGGTTATAATAATGATAATAATTATAAGTGTGATCCTGGCAAAATACTTTATAATATTTTAACCCATTGTGTACCCTCTCTCAGGTGGCGAAGTTCATTGGCTCCCCGCCGGGATACGTGGGACATGAGGAAGGAGGTCAGCTGACCAAGCTGTTGAAGGCGTGTCCCAACGCCGTTGTCCTGTTTGATGAAGTAGACAAAGCCCACCCTGATGTTCTCACCATCATGCTGCAGCTCTTTGATGAGGTGTGTAAACCAAAACACAAACATATCAAACCTTTGTGAGGTTACATTCATCCTGTTTCTGTTGATAAAACATCTGCAAACATCTGTAACTTCAGTAAATGGATCTCTCTCTCTCTCAGGGTCGCCTCACAGACGGTAAGGGGAAGACCATCGAATGTAAAGATGCCATGTTCATCATGACGTCTAACGTTGCAAGTGATGACATCGCCCAGCATGCTCTGCAGCTTCGACAGGAAGCGGAGCAGGTCAGCCGCAGGAAGCTGGCCGATAACCTTGGTGAGAGAAAAAAAGCACCAACATATACTACATGTACTTATAATGTCTAAAAAGCCTCTCAGACATTTATGTACATCATACACTACAGCTGCAAAATGAATTGATTGTATTAGACACTGGAAACCCATTCTGACACATTACTTTGTATTTTCAGTTACTTTGTTTAAAATGGGCATGATGATATGATGTGGAGTATGGCCAAATAGTTTTGTCAGATTGTCTAAATTTATAGACAGTATCTTGCTAACATTAGCCATTGCAAACACAAAATGATCACAAAGAAATCTGGTGATTTGGTCGTACAACGTAAAGACGTATAGAGTAAGCAAAGGTCAGGTGAATCAAAAGTTAATTTAATGTTGACGTTGTTTTTTTCCCCAGAGGACGTACAGAAAAGTGGTGACGTCACAATCTCCCGACAGTTTAAAGAATCTGTGATTCGACCGATCCTGAAGGTAACACCAACACAAACAAACACAAACAAACAACCCACTTTGTTTTGGTGTCATTACAGACGAATCCTGCAGTTTAACGGTTTACTTTTCTCCAGCAGTAAACTCTAATTGGCCTGAGAGGCTTCGGTTGCCGTTGTTAATTCTTTGGTTCCTCCCCAGGCTCATTTCCGGAGGGACGAGTTTCTTGGTCGGATCAATGAAATTGTATACTTCCTGCCATTCTGTCACTCAGAGCTGCTACAGCTGGTCAGCAAGGAGCTCAGCTTCTGGGCCAAGAAGGTACGTAACAAAAGCAAATTGCATTACAATGGACACATTATAAATATAAATATATTCAGTCCATTTTCATTTAAAAACCTGTTAAGTGCCAAAATCTTTGAGTATTGCTGATAATAACATAATTTCTGCTGACTGCAGTTTGTTAATTGTACTTGTCAAACCACCAATCTGTGCACTGTATTATTTTGTTAATGAAACAAACCCCCGACCTTTCTAATATGTATCATTTGAGTCAACATGTCTTGACAGTTTGTTTTATACTGTTGAAGATAAGAGACTAACACAAGAGCAGGCTCAACAAAGCCTCTCTGAGACACAGCACTGCAGTCACTGAGCTGTGCAGGAACACACGCAGATCAATATTATGTGCCACTACTACTCACTATAATGTGATTACAGTGTTTAACATGTGGAGCCTTCATCAATATTTAATTATTAATATTACAGCTGGCGTCCTGACAGCTAACATGGGCCCTGCAGGCAACTGATAGGGACCTGACTCATGACTCTCACTCTGTGCATTTGTCTTTTGTCTTTTGAATGTTGCTGTGTGTATGTGTGTGTGTATGTGTATGTGTGTGTGTTGTTGTGTCTTTGTTAGTGTTTCTGTTGTCCTTAATGTTTTAATGTCTTGTAATAACTTGCCTCTGTATGTGTGCTTACAGCAGAAATCTCATTATTACAGAAACCTCACGAGCCATTTGTTTGTCACTCACTTATATTAAATAAATTACATCTTTAGTGCTATTATTGTTGCCATAATAATGTATTTGTAATGTTGCATTATTAGTCTTTATATCTCTGGAGTAAAACATGGCATTGTATTTATTGAATGGAGCATTAACATCAGTATCTAAATGAGCAGCTCTACTATTGACTGCTGTTTGATTAAAACGCATTAAGGGCCTGTTGATTAGCACTGGCAGACATGCTGCTTGACAGTATCTCCTCTCTGCCTCAGTGTTTGTCTCTTTCTCACAATCTCTCCGTCGGTCTCCACCACCATCCTTTCCTTTCCTTTCCTTTCTGATTTGACAGTTTATAACGCTCTTGTCACCGGCACAACCTTTTGTTTTCCCGCCCTGTCATTAGGCTAAGCAGCGCCATGACATCACTCTTCAGTGGGATAGCCCGGTTCTGGACCTGTTGGCGGGCGGGTACAACATGCATTACGGAGCACGCTCTATCAAACATGAGGTAACACCCAGACCGCCACACAGGGTTGTCTTAAAAGACTTGAAAACATATTAACTATTCGAAAGGCCTAAAAAGGTCTTTTTAAAATTTGGGTCTTGTTTTTGTTGAGTCAGACATAATTTTTATCAGTTGTTACAACATTTTAATCACCAGTTTCTTTACTGAGATCTGGGGGACACAGCAAGTCTGCTACATGAGCTTTTTTTAGCAGACCAGTAGAGCAAGCAGGAAGTACTTCTAAATGTTCTCATATTGACATTTATAGACACAGTTTGGGCAATTCATTTAATGTTTATAAAGCTGCGGCTAACAGATTCACCACATCTGTAATGAGGCTGGTGAGTAAAATGTTAAAACTAATAAGAGTATTGGCCAGAACTTACTGTCCTCAGCTTTGGCTTTAAGAAAGATTACAGATTAATTAGTCAAAGTTGGCAGAAAACAATGCCAAAAAAATTTCCTTTATCAGCCCACATGTTGTTTTAGGGACGGCAGCAGATGTAGAAAGCAATAATATTCAAATCATTTACAACTGAAACACGAATAAACATAAGTAACAAACATATTCAAAATGCAAAATAGGAAATAATCTGAGATAATGGACACAACCACTTCCACATCACAGCAGACAAACCAGTATTCTGATTTAAAAAACATTTTCTAAACTCTTACCACTAATCTCGTCACTGATCCCTCAGGTTGAACGACGGGTCGTCAACCAGTTAGCCGCCGCGTACGAGCAGGAGCTGCTGCCCAAAGGCTGCATCCTGCGTCTGTCTGTCCAATCAGAGGACCAGGACGAGCGGAGCACGCCCAGTCTGCGCCTTGAGGTGGTCGGAGAGGACAGCTCATCGAGAACGCTGGATATCCGTCCACCGCTCAGCCCTGAACACTAACAAACAACACAAACACAAACTGGATATATCCAGATATGTATGCACACATGTACACTTTACACACACACACATCACTATCACCATCATCATCATCATCATCATCAGACAGTGTCAGGAGGATGGATGGTTCTTGATGGATGTTACCAATAAAAGTACCTCTGATAAACATCATCACTGCCTCTCTGTTTCCCTTCACACATGCAGTAATTTACATGCCAACTTTCCCACAATATGCAGTACAGTATCTGCCAATGTTTGTGCCCTAAACTGGAAATAAAAACCTTTGTTACAACAAACTTTCATAGTTAGGACTGATATCAAGAGGTTTGGGAGTAAATGTGATGCATATGTGGTTGTAAAAGTAGCACAGAGGCTTCAGTGTACCTGTGCAGCTTCATCATCATCAACCATCTCATCTTCAGTCAATTGAAGCCATTGTGTTAGCTGATAGGAAGCTTAGTTGCATTATGTTTGTGGTAGCAGCAACTTAGCTGTGACTTAGTGATAAATTAATGTCTGTATAGAACAATGTATTGTATAGAACACTGAAAACAGCCAAAATATTTAATATTTATTGTTTATTAAGATATATGTAAGTTAAGTTCATGCCGATTAATAGTGATATGTTGAAAGGATGAACGGCAGTTTGGGGGGAAACAAATGGATATTGATCGGAGGACGTTAACTTGCAGCAAAACTACAGGTAGTTTGACTTAAAAATGACATGTTTTGCCAAAGTTGGATAAATAAGAGCCGCTAACAGGGAAGAGGAAGGTTTAATGACCAAAGACAGTTTGCCTCAGATCGTTGTGTTTGTTCACTTTAACGCACATTCTGGAGAAATCCTCACCAGCAGAGCTTCACTGATAAATGTTTGTAAACACATTCTGCTTATTCATTTCATTTTAGTAAAGAATGTGTTAGTGGAGAAAACACCAAGCAGAAATGTACAGCAGTCCATTTGAATGATGGGTAATATAACTGCCTTTGTGAATTGTTTCTGTTGATGCATGTTAATGTAAAGACGTCTCGTCCGTCACCACGAGTGCTCTGCTGGTACAGTGTGTGTGTGTCTCACATTAAGAGAGAGTCATAAAGAAATAATATTCACAGTGTTGTTTCATAAATGTTTGAACAGCATGTTGACAAGGCTCCAAATGTAATCCAGCGACATTTTTCATTCTTGTATCCCAACCTCTGCCGTGTAAATAAAGTCATCACAACAAAAAAGGGGAATTCCTCTGTTTTTTGTTCTGTTTGTGTTGCACTGACACTCACTGATTGATGGATGTGTGTGTGTGTGTGTGAGAGAGAGAGAGAGAGAGAGAGAGAGAGAGACCAGTGCCTGGGTGGGAATTCTGCAACAATAACGCTTGTCCACCTTGTGAAACAACATGACAGAGGAATTTCCTTGGAATTCTGCTCAGTGTGGGGGTCTGTGTCGGACACTGGGAGGGAATGTCTTCCCTGTAGGGACGAATTAGCATGCAGGAAAAAGACACATTCACTCTTACTGTGCTACTCCTGGACCCCCCCAACATCACACACACACACACACACACACACACACACACACACACACACACACACACACACACACACACACACACACACACACACACACACACACACACACACACACACACAGTCACATCTACAGAGTCACAGCTGTCTTGTGAAGGAAGACCACTGCATTGTTTTTAAGTCATTCCCTGCTGCAGCAGATTTCTAACACTGCAGGGATGAAATAATTAGTCAGAGGATTAGTTAACAGAACAATGGATTAATCATGGATTTTCAAGCAGAAATGCCAAACATGCTGGTTCCAGCTGCTTTAAGTGTGAGGATTTACTCTGTTCTATACGACTGTAAATTAAATATCTGTGTTTTTAACTGTTGACAGAAAAATGCAATTTGAAGATGTATTTAAGGCCGCTGGCAACGTGCCATGTGCACTATGCAATATCTTCTCACATCAAATGATCAAATGATCAAATGGTCGGTAATTTCAGCCCCCAATTACACTTTACAGTCACATCTGAACTGTCACAGCTCATTTTCCCTTTGGGAAACATGAAATCATGTTTAATGAATCCTCTTTTATAATTAATATAGTTTTAATAATGGTAACCGATAAAGGACCAAACATTATATGTCTGGTTTGTTTTATATTCAGTACATCCTCAGAAGGTTATTTGAACATTAGTTTTGCTTCCTGGGAACTAAAAGCAGGGAAAGATCAGCTTTTCTTTTTTACCATCCACTTCCTTGTTATCCACCAGTCTAGAGGGGAAATGTGTGTCTGCCAATTACTCGTGAACCTAAGCTTACTCTGCAGTTGTATTAATTGTAGTTTGAATATTTGAAATGTCATCTGCATGTTGTAAACTTGACGCCCACAGAGAAAGGAGCAGCAAGTGGGACTCCTGAAGCGGCTGCATCTGGACAGCAGATCAAGTTTTTGCTATGATACCTCAAGGCTTTTCCCATCTCTTATAAGCCTCAAACACATCTACACGTTATGGTTTTAGGAAGTCAAGCTGGCCTGTGTGTGTGTGTGTGTGTGTGTGTGTGTGTGTGTGTGTGTGTGTGTGTGTGTGTGTGTGTGTGTGTGTGTGTGTGTGTGTGTGCACATGTGTGTATCCATTTACCCTCCCCGAGGAGGAAGACAAGAATAAGAGGAGGAGGAGAAAGGGAAGAGGCTCTTAGTCTGTCCGTCAGGCTATTTCTGACTGCTGCCATTTCTCTGATTAGATTATGGAGAAACAGAAACCTGGCCCTCCATCGTCCTAACCTCCCTCTCACTCTATCTCGCTACATTTTGCTCACTCACCCCCCCCCCCTCGCAACCTCCCTCCGCCTGATGCTCTCTTTCCTCCACCTCTTTCTCTCAGTCTATACCTCTTCCTCTGCTGTCCATCTGTCTGTCTCTGTCCTGGTGCGTCTCCTCCACCTTCTGCTGCTGATACAAACGGAGGCGAGTTCAAGGTTCAGGAGAGAAGTGAGGGTCAAACATGGGGGGAGGAGGGGAATGGAGGACCAGGAGGATGGGAGAAATTACATTTCATTAGTACAAAAACATCCGTATTAAAGTAAAGACTACAGCACTATGGAATCCTTCCCTTGAAGGCCAGAGGAGACAGTCAGAACAGGTGTCCATGCAGAGGCCTGTTCCAACCTGTCCAGTTCAGTAAATACAGCGGACTGAACACAGCAGCTGCATTATACTGTATACACCCCGGACACAAACTATATGGACATTTTCTATGTCAGTTAGCTTGAGTTCATTTGATTAAATCACTTTTTTTATGCCTCAGCAACGCAGAGCCACAATATTAAGTAATACTTTGATAGTTAGTTAGTTGGCATCATACTGAAGTGGTGCAAATTATCTAAACAAACTGTAATTAACCACAAAACCAAATTGGGGAGCGCTGACCATGAACTGCAACATCCAGATAAGAACCGGTCTTATCTGGACTGGAACCTCTGGATGTCATTTCCCTCATTTCCTCTCATCTCTATACCATCAGCTATCTAACAAATCCAGAAAATGGCCACACAAAAAACAAACAAACAAACAAACAAAGAAAAAAAACAGCCTTTCACATGCAGCACCCACTGGGGTCTGCAGCCCCAGAACAGTTGGTGGTCACCCAGACTCACCAGTACACAGTTTATTGAGTAATCTGGATAACTCTGCAGAGTAAAGCAGCTCTTTTTACATCAGTTCAGACATGAGATGGTACTTTGTTTATCCAGAGAAGACATTAAACCTGTTTCTTTTATTAGAAAATGGCCCTTTCCATACAAAAATAGACAATGCTGAGTTATAGTAGGTCTGAGATCTGGCTCATGTGCTCTCCTGGCCACGCATACTAACCTCTGTTCTGTAAATAAGATGGATAAAGAAGTTGGTTTGATTTGAGTGCAGTTGCTGTGCAGTGTTGGGCAGCCCAGCAGCAGCAGCAGCTCAGAGAGGTGCAGCAGCAGCCAGGTGAGGTGGTGAATGATGAACGACTACTAGAGGCTCTCCCATTATCATATCTGTCCCTGCTCTTAACGGGGGATTTTCATCCGTGTCCCTCTGCACTCCTCTCATCCCTCCCTCCCTCCCTCCCTCTCTTCCTCATTGCGCTCCCCCAGGAAAGCGATCGATTTCACCTCCATTACCTCTCTGCTCTCGGTTTTAAAGATGCTCCTCATGTATGCAGCAGTGAGGCGGCGCACAGTTACCGCAGCCTGCAACCGGCTTTTTATTTGGCTTTTACATGTTCGCTCAAATCAGACCCCTGGTCCTCGTGTTAACATATGGAAGGCTTTGTTGTGGTCTCGGGGATGGACCGGCGGACGGACGGAGGGGGCACACACCGGATGCCGTCCGGTTACCGCAAAGCAATCACGTGACATCACGTCTCCCCCCCCGGGAAAATTAGCATAAAAGACAAATAAAGGACCCCACCAAAAACACACCAGTCTGTCCTCCTTTCTTTTAAAGAAAAGGAACAAATCCATTCCGCCTAATTCGAACCTTGCTCAGGGACAGCTCGCGTGGCAGATTGCAGCCTAATTAGTTTAGAGGGAATTTAATTCAATTAACTTTCCACAGCTCCGCGCGCCCCGCCGCTGGGCTGCTTTCAGAGCGCGGGGCCAGAGCTCGAGATCTAATTAGCGTGTTTGGAGAAGCTCTCCTGCGCGCGGCCATCCCTCGCCGCTCCAGCTGTGGTGTGTGTGTGTGTGTGTGTGTGTGTGTGTGTGTGTGTGTACTGTGGTCTCCTGGGACCTGGTTTTTATCCTAAAAAGCTTCTTTTTTAAGTAACATGCCGCTATCCATTAGGATAATACAGGTCTGGTGCCGCAGTGGAGAGATGTACGCAGCATGTGAATAACCGCAGCTGCTCTGCGTCATATTCTGGCAGGTGAACGCATGTTGAATTGATGTTGGAGCGGACTTCAATTAGGATGAGTGTAATCTGATGGGTTGAAATTAATGGCCACATTTTTGAGGCGATCTTGACAAAACCTCTTTTTGTGCTGGACGATTAAACTGTGTAGCGCGGTGGGGTTGGGGGTTGTCACATTTTTGATCCCGTCTGATTTATAATTTGTAGATTTTTAACCAAATTTATGCTGAACCAAACTCATTAGAGTATTGGAGCAGATATGATGCT